GAGAACCGTGTTAAAAATCCGGTGATTACTTTGAAATTACTTTTCCCCTCATTGACGTTGCTTACTCTGATAGTCATGATTACGATCTATTACGCAGTTTCCATTACAACAAGTTTCTGCGAATGATGGCGCGGTCAGCCTTAGACCATACATTTTGATAAACTTTCAACACATCCTGCACTGTTTGTGGATGTCTGCTTTCATTTCTGCATCTAATCAAGCCAAAAGCAAAGCACAAAAGACTCATGGGGACTGTAACAAGTACGTGGTCCAATGGGAGTTGCTGAGATTTAAACTGATGTGGCTTGAAGTTTTTCAATGCTACCAGGAGATATGCCCAGTTGCATGGCATTGGTTTCAGGTCTGAGGGTTCCCTTTCAAAACTCCATCCTTCATTTTATGGATGATGACGTTGCTTCTAACTGGATTGGGGGTGTATTTTTGAATATCAACACACTAAATATTCTGTTGTAGTTTTTCTGCTTTCGTGGAGAACAGTGGAAGTTCAGTTTTTCCGGGTGTTTTATCCTTTGTTCTGTGTCACTTAATAATCTTTCTATATGAATATTTCTGTTTCGAAAGGCTTTTGCTGTATCTTCCACTCATAAGAAATCCGAGGCAGCATTGCACCATGCACCTAACGATCGGAGATTCGCCATAAAACCAAATATATAGCCAGAAACATGCCCTTAGTAACGCCACGGCGTGTGTTCTTATAGCTGTCACAATGTGCTTCTTACGAATACATCATGACAGATGTGTATCATATATTATACTTGATAGCACTTCATGACAAATTTACGAAGACAATGGTATTAAATCCTTGTATGCTTCCGAAGTTTTTGCTTGTAAAGTATATATTTGACATTAAACGTGTTCCCGATGGGTCGGCGGTAAGTTATAGACATACAACAATAAAATCCTGGGTTCTATTCACCCCCGAGGATAGAGCAAGAATATCTCATTATGTAACTTTACTCTAAAAGAACCCAACCTATCAAAACATTAAATGTTGATGGAATAATATTTGTCTGCTACAAAATAATGCCCCCCCCCCTTCCAATGGCACAGCGGTATGTCCATGTCTGCACATTTAAACTGCTACGAACCCGGTTTCAACACCCGTGGTGGGCAGAGCACAGATAGCCTTTGTGTAGATTTGTGCTTAGTAACAAACAAAAACTATAAAATAATATTTAATTACCGAAAAACTTCGATTTAGCTTCTGCAAAATAATATTATTTAATACACATTAAAAGTTTCAGTTTTGTTTTTTATCCTTTTAAACGTCTCTCGTAAATTAACAGTCATCGATTTAATCTTGTTGAAAGCTACCAAAATGGCGTTTAATCGTTAAAAAAAAAGAGTCCTGGAATTAAAATATATACATAAATAATCAGTTACCCTATTGGCTAAGAAATTGTTAAATTAAAGCGAAGTTATAAATATTAAATTACACTATTGACTAACAAGTTTATATTTCTAAATATATTATTTTTTTAATCTTGAATCCTTAGCTACAGAACTGCTCCTAACTTGTAATTGTTTAATTAGTTCTTAAATTGTTTTATCCTCGTTATTTTCAATAAAGGGATTTAGCCGCACCTAGCCCGGTGGTTAGCATGCCGGGCCGTGGATCTGAGGTTCTATGATTCACATTTCTTTACTGCCAAGAAGAAAAAAATGCTCCCCGCACTCTCGGACCATTGTTGTGCTATAAGAATTGACGATGTCTGTTGATGTGAGTAGCTGCCTTTCTTATAGTCTATCATTTCAAAATTAGAGAACAATTTGCGCAAATAACTCGTGTAACTATGCGACAAAACAAACAAACACTCATAATTGTATTTGTTACACAAATGAAAAACAAAAAAAAAAATACATCATTTTATAATTCTCCTAAACGACATGGAGTTTAATAGGTTTAGGTTTTCCTGAGGGATACTTTACGAGTTACAACATTACAAAGGACCTTCTTTTTATGTCGAAAATTAACTTTTATTAGAAATTTCCCACAAATCTTCAGAATGTTTCCCGCAAGTTTAAAATGAATAGTGAAACGTTTTCGTTTCTTCTTATTTATTATGTGTTGTTTCTGAAATTGTGCAAGCTTTATTAACAAATTCATTACGTTATTCACCACTAAATAAAGATTGTTTTAATTTTTCCATCCAGTATGTTCAGTCTTTTTGTTTCTCACACAACTTAAACTCAGTTGGGTTTTCAAATTAATATTACTCTTAACATTTTCTCTTCGATCCTCCGGTTATTAAACGGATCGGTAGTAAGTTAGATCGTAGGATTAAGTTAGTATGTCTGTTTGTCAGTAAGTAAGTTAGTCAGTCAGCATGTTTGTTAATATTTTTATCATTTATATTAAGGAAATTCTACAAGTGCTCTTAACATTTTCTCTTCGATCCTCCAGTTATTAAACGGATCGGTAGTAAGTTAGATCGTAGAAGTAAGTTAGTATGTCTATTGTCAGCAAGTAAGTTAGTCAGTTAGCATGTTTATTAATATTTTTTACTATTTATATTAAGGAAATTCTACAAGTACTCTTACATTTTCTCTTCGATCCTCCAGTTATTAAACGGATCGGTAGTAAGTTAGATCGTAGGAGTAAGTTAGTATGTCTATTTGTCAATAAGTAAGTTAGTCAGTTAGCATGTTTGTTAATATTTTTATCATTTATATTAAGGAAATTCTACAAGTACTCTTAAAAGTCATTTGAGCGTGCGTACCACAAATTTTGGAATTTCTTTTGAAACTGTTTATAAAGTTAGACCTACAAGTGAACACGGCTTGTAATGCAAAATATGTTAATAAAGAAATACATTAATTCATTATCGTTACCTGGATTAGACTTAATATTATTTTTTACCAATTAATCCAATAGAACCTGTCTAATGATAGAACACATTACAAAACCATGTTATCTGAAAATACCACAATGTTTCTCGAAACTTCTGCGAGTGAATGGTATAACGTTTCATTTGAGACAGTGTCTGGATTAAATGTTATTAATCCATATTTGTTTCCTCTCGTTTATTATATTGTATATTTGTATTATCATAATTATTGGTATCTCAACAGATTTTGCAATAAACCTCTTAACACCACCTGTGACGTTAGTTGACCCTTGAAATAGGCTTAAGCCGAACGTCGAGAAGAATTAAAAAACAAAACACATTTATCTGAAGTTGTTTGTCGTCTTCATTGCAAAGGTTTGTTTGTTTGTTTTGAATTTCGCGCAAAGCTACACGAGGGCTATCTGCGCTAGCCGTCCCTAATTTAGCAGTGTAAGACTTGAGGGAAGGCAGCTAGTCATCACCAACTCTTGGGCTACTCTTTTACCAACGAATAGTGGGATTGACCGTCACACGGCTGAAAGGGCGAGCATGTTTGGTGTCACGGGGATTCGAACCCGCGACCCTCAGATTGCGAGTCGAGCGCCGTAACCACCTGGCCATGCCGGGCTCATTGCAAAGGCACGTCTAAAGAGGTTATAACTTCATTATAAATGTCGCTTACTTTTACGCTACATTTGGAATTTGGAATATTGTGCTCATTCTTGAGCTCCTTACCTTAGAAAGAACATTGAATAGTAAAAAAGGGTTCAGAGGAGGGCTAGTATGATGATATCATGTCCTACGAGGGCAGATTAAGATATCTAAAAGTGTTTTATTTTGAAAAAAGAAGGGTTAGAGGGGATCTGATTGAGGTGTATTTAAGATTGTTAAGGGAGTTGATAGTGTTGATGTATCATACCCTTTTGTACTTAATGGAGCGAATGATAAGACTAGGGGAGACAAATATAAATTGTGGCATGGTAGGGGTCATCTTCAGTTAAGACAGTTTTATTTTTCTAACAGGGTGGTTGGATTTTGGAATGGGTTGCCTTTAGATGGGGTAAATGCAGTAAACTTAAGGGAATTTAAGAGAATGCTTAATAAATATTTGAATATTTAATTTTTATTTTAAAGTTTAGTGGATGGGATGGCCTAGATGGACCAACAGGTCCCTTTTATCATTAATTGTGTGTTATACGTTATAATGTTTCGTTTATAGAAATTACACCGTTGCCAAATAATACATCTTCTATCATCTATTTACTAAAGAACGAGTCAGTTAAGTAGTAAAAATAAACTGATCACAGTGAAGGCAACAATTTGTGTTTCTACACAAATAACTCTCAGTGGTTCAGACGTAAATCTCTGGAGTTATGACGTTAAAAATCGTGTTTGGACAACCGTGGTGAGTAGAGCACAAACAGGTCATTGCATAGCTTTGCGCTTAACAACAAATTACACAAATAACTTATTTATTGTATGAAAACATTCACTATGTGCATATCCCTGTTGAATAGAGAACCCTCAACACTGGTAGCTTCGATTCATTTTGCTTGGTACTTTAATATTTATCAACTTTAAGCGATTATGTATGTATTGTTATCTCTGGTCGTTAGTTAATTACTCGTAAAAATTCTTTCCGAAGAACTTCAGCGATACAAGTCCTTTCTCATTTCAACTTTGCAATGCACTTAATTTCCACAGTCCCTTTAACTTAAACATACGCTATAATTCTCAACGAACGATTCACGCACTTTACTTAATACCGCGCTTGACTCAATTGTCCCTCTATATCTTCATTCTCTCTGTCTGCTATTCAGTTGTTGCCGTCACTTTATTTGCCGGCTTATATACTATAAGAGCGCCATTCTAGCAACCGCTAGGATGTTCGACAAGTTCCTCGAGCTTTCTAGATACTCATTACGTGTTACCAGTGTCACGTGACCTCCGCTGTTGTAACAGTATAAATATGTATACATGGAATGACCTAAAATAATTATTTTTTTCCCTGCCTTCCAATGGCTCAGCGGCAAGTCTGAAGACTTTAGACTCCAAAAAACCGGATTGTGATACTCATGGTGAGCACAGCACAGACAGCTAGCTCATTGTGTAGCTTTGTGCTTTACTACAAAGAAACAAACATTTTATTTTTATAATGTACATCACTTACATAACTCGTTGCGTCATAAGAATCAGAAGAGACAATGTCATTGGAAACGAGATTACGTGAGTGTTGTGAGCTGGTGACATATACGTAGGAAGTGCTCAAGTAGATCCTTCGGGTTTCGAAATTGATTGGTAAGACTAAATTATTGTATCACTTAATAATGTTACATGAATAATATTGAAATGTTAAATGTATGTTATAGTTACTCTGCATAATTCTAATTTATGAGCTTAATAGTATTAGAATTTCTAATAACCATAACTTAGATTTAGAACACTAGCACGGAAACGTGTCGGTAATTGTAGCCTAAAATGAAAAATAAAAATTGCCCTCCTCTGAACTGCAGTGGAAACTGAAAATAGATGTCCACGACAAAACGTCATTTTAGATAAGACCGTAACTAGACTAGGTAGGAAAGGCTAAATACAGACTAGACAAGCGACCGACCTAGTCCCCATCCTGTCTAGGTAGAGCTCTGGTGGGATAATTGAGGCAAAATTCCCCATTGTAAAATTATTATAAATATACAGCGGCCCATTGCTTCATTTCTTAGTTAATGAAAGATTACTAGTATTAGGATAGGACAGTGATGTCGTAAAATACAATTCTAGTTTTGAAGATTTATCACTTATAGTATACCAAACTTTTATATGTATACGTTGGAACTAAGCTTTTTAAAAGAAACTTAAGAAAGTTAAGTTATTTTATAAGTATATATATAAAGACATAAAACCCCTGTGTTTGTTCTCTGCAAAATGTCAGATAGAGGCTATGTCCAGCTTGTCTTGGTGGTAGTTATGGTGCTATATAAATAAATATATATATATTCACATTTATTTCTTCAGTGTTTTGAGCTGCCCTCTTCTTCATCTTCAGGTAGACTCACTATCTCATCACACAGTTTTTCCAAATTCTCTACATCATTTGCTTTTAAACTAAAGAAACTTTTAGCTTTAGTCATGTAATAATGTGTTCATTAGTATTTTAACATTTAACAAGTTTACTATCTGCCATTAGAGTTAAAAGCAATCTTGTTGAAGTAGAATTTCCAGTAATACAAGTTTTTTTGTTTTCAGTGCAGAATATCATTGTGAATTCTGTTCAGAGTTGGCCAGAAAACAAGATGATGCTTGGAGGAACACCTGGGCCTACAAATCCAAACAGCTTCTGGTTGAGAAGTAAAGGGATGTGGCTGACGTATGGTGCAGCAGTTTTAGGGCTACACTTCGTACTGTTAAGTTTCCCGTTCCTAAGTGTGGCTTGGGCATGGACATGTACAAATATTATTCATAATACCGTATGTAATTTTAGTATGAATTCCTTCCAACTCTTGATAGGTTTTACGAAGGTTGGTTAAGAAAAAAGCAAAATTTTTGTGTAGATTTAAGCAGTTTGTAAAATGTCATTCTTTTTATTTCAGTTTACAAAAATTGCTTTTTTGATATGTCTTTTTATAAAAATTTTAAGCAAGAAAAGATATACAGACGATTAGTGTTCCTTGTAAGCTGCAGGGCTGCACAGCCACACAACAACCAATCAAGTGCTGCACATTATTCATTATTCCAGCCGTGCACATCCTCAGTAATGACGAGGAGTCTCAACATGTTGATGGCCTTAATGACCCTGGCATTTGATAGGCCTAAAGCCCAAATTACCAACTGGTAGCATTGCAAAACAGCCTAATGATCCAATAAGGTCGATGGTTAAAAAATACTCCCCCCCTCCCAAAAAAAAACAACAACAACTGGTAACACACACCCGCCCATTGCCTTGATACTGGGGCACCTAAAAAACTTCATTCTACCTGTTGATTGAAGAAATTAGAGGGAACATTGCTTATAATTAATTATTGTTTTTAATGCAAAATATGAATACTAACATACACACTGTATTGACAGACCAAAGTCTTACTGGCTGACCTTCAGGTAAAAAAAAAAGATACTATATACCTGACGTACTCAAGGATTTTATTGGAGAGACATATGTGCTTCTATCTGCAGCTGTTTTATGGGTATCAAATACTTATTTATATTGTCTTCGTCGAATTTATCTTTAAACTATTCGTTCCATATGTACAACTTTTTTTAAATATTTAGGTTTAAACGTCTCGTACAGAAAATATGCCATCCTTTCTTTTCTTTTTTTTATGGGGTGTTGGGTGATAGTTTTGAAGCATGAGAACCTGTGAAAAGATTTAAAATATGTCAATATATATAAATCATACCATAGTTTTATACTCTGTCATTCAGTGGTAACAGATTGGTTTGGCAAGTTTTCTGTAGTGAATGTTTTGGCTCTTTTTCATGATATCATGTTTCACTAAACGGTTCTGCAAAGCATTGTTTATAATAATCTAGAATTTTTTCACTAGAGAACTAAGACTAACTGGCTTATTAATTCCAGGACAACTGTTATTACATCCTTTCTCCAGTCATTAGACTCCTGCCCACTATTTGTTGACCTACCAAAATTAAAGAGATGCTTGCATCTTTGATCTCCTTTGAAACTCTAGGGATCTGTTGGTCCATCTAGACTGTCCCTACCACTAAACCCAATTTAAAATACAAATAAAACACCCGTCAGTCCTTATCGTTCAAGTATTCATCAAGCCTTTCATTAAGCTCCCTTAAATTATCTGCATCCATCACATCTGAAGTCAACTCATTCCAAAGGACAACCACCCTGTTAGAAAAATTAAAGCTGTCTTAGCTGAAGGTGACTCCTACCTTCCTAAAATTTATATTTGAAAGACTCCTTGCTATCACTTTCCAAATTATCAACCAGCTGTTTCTTATTTTTGAATTTCTAATTTTTTTTAAAACCAAATCCCTAGCATTCCTGTAGCTATATCCATCTTCCGGGCTGTCTGTCAGTCTAAACTTTTTACACTTGTGGCATTTTCTCCCTTATATTCTTCTAAATCTAAATAAATTTGATCATTCCTGTATCCCTTTCCTTTTTTTTTGAGAATTTAAAAACAATTAGTTATAAAAATTTCCAAATCTCATCCTTTTAACTTGTTATCCTAATTCACTAATGATAAATCTTATCTCACCAAAGTTAGCTCTCTGAAAATTTGGAACTAAAATTTCATCTTTTTGACAACATGATGTAGCAAATATAAAATCTAATTTTGTAATGAACACTATTTCCCAAATGTTACCTCCATTTCAAATTTTGCATGTCCTTATATACATGTAATCAGTAAATTTCATGTCAGTTTTATTAATTAAATAAATCACAAACGTAACATCTTTATAATTACTTAAGCCTGGTAACACTGATACCAACAAATCATGTGTTTTTCACTACGGGTGTACAGGTCATTTAACAACCTCAAAAATTGGTGATATTAGCCACTGTCTTATAACCATATCCTCATTATGTTTACGTTATGTAAATCTCTGGTTGTCTCCCTGACCATTTGGTAAAAGATAAGACAACTCTAATCATTTCAAAAGCTTCATCTCCTCACGTGTGGGGTCTGGTATGGCCTGACGACTATGGCATGAAACATGCAACCTGTGGGGTATGGGATCAAATTTAATCACTGAATGTGCTTGCCTTTTCAGCTGTGGGGCATTATAATGTGATGATCAATCTCACTATTCATGGGTAAGTAGTAGCCCAAGAGTTGGCACTGGGTGGTGGTGACTAGCTGCCTTCCCTCTAGTCTGTCACTTCGAAATTAGGGACAACTAGCACAGATAGCCTTCAAGTGGCTTTGCACAAAACTCGACAAATAAAGAGCATCCAATCGATGTGTCTAAAATTGAAGTCTTCCATGATTATTGCATCATTATCCTTATTACTTACAATGCTGATATTCCCATACAATTTCTTATTAACATTATTTGTCCACTTTGATAGCCTGTAACAATACTTAGTTAAAAAATTATCTACACTTTAAACTCCAGATTGTAGGATTGTAATCCATACAGACTCAACCTCTTGACTACTATATGTGTGTTTCAGGCTGCAGCTTGTTTCTTGTATAGAGAACAACTTCCCCCACCTTTCTTTTAATTAAAACATCTGTCACTGTTAAATAAATTGTACCCAGGAATTTGAAAATAATTCTTACTATCAGTGCCCTTCAAATCAAAACATGTTTTAGTAATTCCCATTATATCTGTCAGTCATTCTTTTCAACTTGAGTTCCAAACTTGTCTGTATTTTGTTCCTTGTACTCGTAACATTAGAGTAATGAGCTTATTATTTAATCTCTTTGAAACTGTTATTTATCTTATGATCTAGCTATTCTTTCAGTTTGTTTATTCCCAAACTCTACTTCATCTCAATGTGTATTTAGTATAAACTATCTTTAATGAAATGTTTCTCTCTTTTTTAGTGTGTTTATTGATATATATTTTCATATAAACTAATGCACAGAGCTCAAAGTTGGACAAAATCATCAGAGACACCTAGCTGCTGGTTTTGTAAGTTAGTAGACAATTAAAGATTAAGGGGCTAACTCTAATATTCTTTGTTCCATTTAAAGTGGATTGAAACTAATACAATTAATTTACTAATATTAAGTGCTAAGATGGAAGTTTAAGAAATACAAACATCCATTTTTGATGGAAGTTTAAAAGAATAAAAATAAAATGATAACCTTAACACTCCTCTTCTGCAAGCAAAGAAGTTTCCAGTTCCTATAACAACCAAGGGGGTATGTGTAGAGGTAACCCACCCAATTCTAAAAATGTAAAACCTTTAACAAAAGCTGTAGTACCATCAGTAACTTCTATAATGTAACTACCAGTTGTACATCCAGTAATCATTATCATATTTAGTGCTATCTTTTCTCTGGTGAATATGCAGTGGGCCATTGGATTGTTCCTCCTCCTTGAGCCAGCTGTACATTTGATACCAATCAGTCTGGATTTTTGAAACTGTTTGAACGTTACTTGTACACTGTTTTTGGGACTTGGTTTGATGATCTCTGAAAATAATCATGAATTGATTTTGAAAGTCACCATTTACTAGTTTTGTCCCATGACAGTCATGTGACTTATACGAGTGACATGCAATATGTAATTCATGGTTCCAACTCTGCTGGATTTTAAATGATGGTAAAACAATTGCCAATTATAAAAAAATATAGAGACACCGGAAGTAACATTAGTTTTTTTTTATCACAGCACTGTATACAACCATAGTGTTTTTACACAGAGAAACCATGTTTTATAATTTATATCTGACATTCCCACAATCAACAAATTAACACACAATCACCACTATTGGCAACCACAGCTAACAGATTTAGGCATTAATGCTTCACCTATTTTCATACTGAGAAGTGACAGTATTATAAAGGGTAATAAGTGCTAAAAGTGACAATGAAGTATCCATATTTTTTTAAACTCGGAGTATAGTTGGTCAGGAAACAGAAAGTGATGGATATTCCTAGGTTTTCATGAAACAATTGCATAACTGATAACTGAAAAGCAATCAGTAAAGTGAATTAAGCATCATTTTAAATCAGTTATTCATGTTCAGTCTAGAGATACGTTGGGGTTTACTCCAAAGTTATAATGATAGTCTTAATTACTTGAAATATGAATAGTTTTACTTGTTTGTGAGACAAAAAATTGTTCATACTGACTTTAATTTATTATGTACTTTGTGTATGAATGACATCAGTGTACCAAACTGTGGCTTTCAGTCGCATTACTTAAAATGTAATATTATAGAATAAAAATCTATCACTGTGTGAGAGAATGAAGTACAAGAGATGCTAAAATAATTAAGTGATGTGTATAATTGTACAATTTATATTTTTGAAAACTTGGCTTTGTCTCTTGTATTATTTTTATAATTATATATTTCTGAATGAGTTGATTACCAGAATGTTTTTCTTAGGCCTAAATTTTTTTTTCTTACAGACAGTGTTTGTTCTTCTTCATTTTATAAAAGGGACTCCATGGGAACTAGGAGACCAAGGAAAAGCACACTTCTTAACCCATTGGGAACAGATTGATAATGGAGAGCAATTTACCAAAACGAGAAAATTTCTAACTGTAGTTCCTATTATCTTGTGAGTCGTTGTTGTTTTTGTATTACTACAACTAAAGCTAAAATTTTCAAAAGTGCATATCAAATTTTATAACCATATTTCTGTAGATTTTATAATTCTATATAAATGGTGTACCAACACCATTTATGTGAACCTATACATAGAAATGTTTACTATAATTCTGAATTTACAAAGTGTATCTACATGAAATTTGGCAAGTTTTTAGTGAACATTACGAGTATGTTGTAAATAAAAAATCAGAATTTTTGATAAAGTACATCTGCTAAAGACTTGTCTGAATTTACTGGGTCAGTTTGACTCGGACTCCTACTAGTCTGAGTGCAAGGTGATTTTCACGTTAAGAATAAAAAATACAATTGTATGTTGTAAATAAAAAATCAGAATTTTTGATAAAGTACATCTGCTAAAGACTTGTCTGAATTTACTGGGTCAGTTTGACTCGGACTCCTACTAGTCTGAGTGCAAGGT